TTTTCAACTCACTTCCCTTTAAAGGCAGTTTTCTGTTCCTTTTCATGGCCTGAAATTATAGCCGTGCTCTCTTCCACTCTGCTACAGAACACCCCAGTAAGAATTAAGTGACAAACCCACATACTACGGTTCTAAAAAAACTGGAACTCTTGTGCGACCTCCGCACACAAAACATTCCTGTCGTACCTCGCGTTTCCTGTTTGTGCTAGTCCACAACCCGGCCACCAGTGAAAACCTTTTCAGCAGTTGCTCCACTTGGCTCTGTCAGCAAGCAAGCAGAGATCCATATTTAAGAAACAAAAACACAAACAAATGCAAACAGCCGAAGCTTGCTCTGCACTTTTGACCCGTAAGGAATTTGCTTCCATTCATCCCCCACCATTACAGATTAACACGGACCATCCACAGAAGGGACATTTATCGTCCGCTTCTCCTGGAAGACTTTTTGATAGGCATTAATTCTAAGCTGATATTTTTGCCTTAGCTGCATCTTTTGCAATCCATTTGCCAAAGCTGAACTGAAACCAAATCACGAGGCAGAGCGTTGCCTGACGATGGCAATGGCAGCACGGTCCCAACCAAGCGCTCCACCTAGTGTCCCCTGCTCCGCCCGAGCCCCCTGCCCACCGGCAGCTCATTCATTTCGTTTTGCGGCAGCAAACAGACCTCTCTGAGATGTACAAATGCACGGAATTCCTGCCGAGTTACCCTCAGTCATCTTCTTTTGGTAATTGGGTGATTCATGTCATTTATATTTTAATATACCACCAATAGAAGAGAAAACATTTCAGGACTAAGAAAAAAGCTGTGTGCTGCTAAAAGCAGTATTTAGAGTCATTAATCATAATAGTTTTATTTCCTACAGAACACATCATGATTACTATTTTTAAAGTGTTGTTTTTAAAGAATTGTGAAAAACCTTTAATGGACTTTGGGAAAATAAGCCAGCAGACTTGTTTTGAAAGTGTCAGAATAAAAAGGATTCTTGGAAGAGTGGCCTGCTTCCCTATTTCTGCGTTGAAGATCTGCTCTGTGCCAGCCCTTAGCTCAGTGCCAATTTGCAGCACGAGAATCGTTTCCCAAAAAGCCATGTCAAATTTTACATTTACTGCTGGCTACAACTAAGGAAGCAGCATTAAACTAGGAACCAATGCAGCAAACAATGTTCAAACCCTTTATAATATATAGAAGTTTCTTGAATCACAGAAATAGTAATAAAAAGCCTATTATCAAACTAATAAAATTGACCTCTCCCTCCTAGACCAAGATGTTTGCAGCAAGAATGTGCTGGTGACCAACAAAATCCAAATCAGATGTGAACTGATACTAACCAGGGGCAGCAACTTCCCCCCAAACTGAGACTGCTTTAGATTGTAAAATCTACTTTAAACGAACCGTTTCCAAGTACTCTCTTCTCAGCTTACCCCAGAATCTCTCCTGGCATTTGAATTCATGCCGCTCCAAAAAGCGGCTGGTGAGAGATGCTTTGAAGAATCCAGACAAATGACAGTTTTCAACACCGGAAAAATAGCTAACCAGGCCAGGGAAAGCAAACATCCAGTGTCATTCATATTTCTATGATTTCCCCAGCTAATAGGCTGTGCTTATGAACAATTTAATATGAAAATAGTTGTATGCAGTAAACGGAGGGCTATATTTAAAAAAGATGCACCTGTGTCACAGCTGAAGAAGTTCAGGCGCACTGTCTGAACAGGTGCCTACATGCCATCAATTCCTACCCCGTGGCCCTTAATGGCAGAGACAATACTGCAAGCATCAACAAGAGCTCAGCAGCGCATGGGTGGGCCCAGGAGCATTGTTCTCTAAGCATGTAATTGCATTCCCAACAATCTCACTGTACATTCAGATTTTAAATGAGCAATTAATTAAAAGCAATTTTAAAACACTTACTGAGTCTATTCTCTATTGCCAGCAAATCCAGGCACTAAAGCAGAAGAGGATTTACTGTTTTGTAACTTCGTATTTCTTTGAATCAATAGGAGAGTAAGTTTTACCATAATGAAGAAATATAATTAAAGTATATGGAACATGAAAATTAGATATACAGTAAAGTAAAAGTTAATATAGCGAGTTCCCCGCTTAACCTATCGTATTTCTACTTTCAGAGGCAACTGCTGCACAACTGACAAAGCAAAATAGTTTAAAACTCCTCCTTTTGAAAGCTGGAGCTCCTAATTGCATTGTTTCCAGATGGGTTAAATCCAGAATACTATTCTGAAACAATTTACCCCTAAAAGTTGCACCAACAGTCTTAGTTAGTATTCTGTGTTCCCTGTCACACAAGGTGTAGGCTCAAACTGAGGCGATATTAAGCAGTGTATTACTACACTGATAGCATATTACATATACGTATTGCTGATACAGCTGTATTGGCAAGAACATTAACAGTTCGGGTACTTAAAATGGCAACACGCTGTTAGGGGAATAAACTTGTGTTTTTACACTCCCACTGCCATCTAGTGGCTACAAAGCCAGATATATTCTACCAAATTTTGAACCACTCAGTGTTCAGACAAGCGTTCAGTTGCCCAGAAAGTGTAATTGTCCTGAATTTACAGTCCATGCTAATCACTAAATCTTGCACAGGAGAAAAGAGGAAAATGAATCCTTGCTTCTCGTTCTTCCTACACTCACTGCCTTTGTGGAATTCCATCAGTGTAATAGAAACATGCTTATCTGCCTTATATATTTAAAGCAAACAAGTATTTCTCCTGTAGTGTTACACATTAGATGTTGATGGTGTAGTTTTATTACATTTTATTCTATAACAACCTTCTCATTATTCCGTGCAATCTATTTTGTCTGGTTTTTCCCCCCAGCAAAGTTATATGAAACCTTGCCTCTTACATTCCAAATAAATACCTTCGCTACATCTGCAATAAATACCTTCGCTAACAATATTAAACTAAATTTTTTTTTCCTAGGTGATGGACCTCCCTGTAACCTTTGGAAAGCTGTTCACCTCCAATACACCCACCGTAAGTTATACTGATAAGCCAATAGTGAATTTACATTTTGTATATACACTACTTTAATGTCAGGTCAGGTCATGGCCTAAAGATATCCACTAGGTTCGCATACGCCACAGGAAAACTTAAGTGATATGTTATGAAATTTAATTTGTTTTTGATTAAAGTAATTTAGAACTATTTAAACACCTGGATTTTTAAATACAGAGTAGAAGACAGGTCAATTCATTCCACTTTCTTTTAGAAATGAAATGGTGCTGTCTTATGAGGACTTCGTTATGTGACAAAATCATCTTGGAGTGGCCTAGAGTATAAAATGACAGCACTCTTGCTACCCTGCGTCAGATCAATGCACAGCAAAGAAACACTACCCACTTTCAAATACAGTTTAGAAATGGTGCATAACATTTCTTATTTACTCGATTTCTGACACAACACGTGAAAATTCAGATTAGGAACTGTATGATAAGCTCTCCAAACTGCTTCAAAGAGAATGTCTAAATACGTGAAATCTTTGGTTAGAAGAAATCTTAAGTTGACTCTCATTGGTTGATAGCCTAAGAAAATATATAAAAAGTAGAACAAGTTTAAAATCTATCATTTAAACTGTTTCCTACTTGCTGATTTAAATCATGATCAACTGATTTCTGCAGCAAACCTGGAATTGCTTTCCTTTCCCTTCCTCTTTTTTTTGCTGAATAGCTGCTCACCCCATCTTGCTGCATTTTCACTCTCACCGTAGGCTGGCAGAGAACCCAAAGTGAGCTGATTTTGTGAGCTTGACTCCACCTCATGCATCACTCGATGCTGGTTTGCCTCTCCGCCTCAGTTCAGGACAGATGATTTCGATCGATTCTCCCTCTGTCCAGCCCATGCGTCTTACTGTTCCTAAGCTATTAACAGCATCGTCTCTCCAAGTCAGAAAGATCTGTACATTGTCAATTCACTGCTGTCTAAGCACTATCCAGTGTTACATAAAAATGTTTAGACACTGTGTTCATCAGCTTTACTCAATTTCCATTTCCAATCATTTAGACTGACAGCAATATTTTTGTCTAGAAGGCTGTGCATGCATAAACATATTTCTGTTTAGCAATACTTTCCTTTCTCCTGTACTTTCTGCCTCCACATTCTTTAGGAGAGAAGCTACACTAGAGTAAGTCTTAACAGTACTGCAAATGCAGCCCATACAGATGCCATTCGATCTAAGAGGCATTGCCCTGCTGTGTGGAAAAGCATGAGTTTCTTGTTTCTTGTAGTGTTTTCTGTGTTATTGTTAATGATTAAAGCAGTTCTGAAAGTAAACATCTGTAATTGTTCCAAATACAAGATGACATTTGTTGCATAAACTGGTTTTAATTATTTTGTGGCCATGAATCCTTTTCTTAAATCCAGGACAGTGGTTTCATAAACAAGGAACTAATCCAATGGCCAAAAGCAAAACACACCCAAACATTTCCCTAACTTTCCTAGCTAAGTTGAGATAAACAACATCATAGAAATTTTCAGAACATTATTTTATCTTTGTGGACAAACATTTTTCGTGCTATTATTTTCAAAGCAAAATTAATACAGGCTGAACTTTAAAATAGCTGCCTATTTCAGCAGTTTCAGCTAGAAAAATGATCATTTTAAGCTACTAAAAAAGAGTATGCTGAAAAATTTTAAATTGAAACATTTGAGCTGTCACACACTAGAAAATGTTTCCTTTAAATTAGGAAATTAGAGGATAGAGCTTGCAGATTTTGACTTGTTTCAAAGGGAGGATTAACAGCAGGCTAATATCTACAGTTCAACAAACATATAGCATACAAACTACAATACAAGGTTATACAGTATAGAACATCAATAGCATTCACTAGAGCCCAGAAGCATTACACTGAGTATTTCTCTTCCTTCAGAAGTACCTAACGTTTAGGATTTAGGGAATATTCTTTATTCACATATTTAAAAATATGCAACAATTTAAATACTCGATTCAGAAAGAACACTGTATGGAAATATCCTTACCAAATAGAGCAGAAAGGTGTGGAGACCTGTTCCAAGTCCAACAGAGGACAGAATGCCTAATCCTACCCAGTAGGCACACCAGAAGAACTTTTTCTCCATATACCGCACATACTGAAAAAGAAAAGTCACAAAAGAGAAGAAAACCAAGAATGGTGATATCTCCTATGGGAGAAAGTTAAAGCTACAAACTAATGCAGATAGTTATCTGGATTACAATAACTGAAACAGAATCCTAGATACTTCTATTTGCAGTTTATTACAATTACAGCACAGACATGTACAGAAAATAGCGCACTTTCAAAAGAAAAGCCCACGTGCCTTAGCATCAGCAAGTTTCCAAGGAGACAGATGAAAAATTCAGGTTCAATAATAGGGGGCTGAAATCCAGAACAGGCATACTAGGTGTGAGCAGTGAGCAGCAAGCCCCAGACAGTGTCTACTTGAGCCCAAGCAGCGAGCAGACAGCTCAGGGAATTGCCTGAACAGATTAAATAAAGGAATAGAATTAGCTGCACTCTCAGTTAGTCTGTTGAATGCTTTATCTTGGACCAGTGAGTAACCAGGTTTGTTACTTTTAAGAAAAGATTAAAATGTTGGTTGTGTGTTGCACATATAAGTGAGGGGATATGAGAAAGTCACAGCAAATTCTGGACATAAAAAGTCCAGTTGGGTACACTGGGGAAACGGGAAGCAGTATCTCCCTCTCACTGCCATGACAGCAACACTAAGAAGATGAGCCAGGCCATCAACTTGTCTGTACCACAGCCCCAAGAAGAGGTGCCATTTTATACCATCCATGGACCAACAGAACCAAGATGAAGTTTACCAGTCTTAACCAGGCTTCAACCTGCCAGGGTGGAAAAAAGTCTTGAAAACGGCAAGTGAAAAACACAAGTATACTTCACTATTCTGAGTATGCTTTCAGGAGAAAGTGGCTCATATTCAGGTATACATTGGCGGTACACAGAGATAGATAGAGGCACTAGCAGGACCTGGGCTTTAGGGAAGGAGCTCTGGAGGAAGGGGGATGGACAGATACCTGCTGGCACACGTGACTGAGACCCCGCAGAACGGAGAGCTCCAAGCACCGGCTGGACGCTGCAGGTCACGCTCCCCTCGCCAGTCCCAGAGGCGCAGGTTTGCTCCCAGCAGGCTCAAGGAAACCTTGAGCAGCTCTGCAGAGCACTGGTGCAGAGGAGTCCCAGCAGCCAGCTCAGGGGCCATGCGCCTCAACACCAGTTTGCCAGAGCCATCTAGTGGCAAATGCCGAGTGCGTCACGCTCTGGCCTTCATGGTGACAAGGCCACCAACCAGGGCAGCTTTTAACGAAGCAGGTATTTGTCCATCAGGAACGGGACACCAATTTATCATCTACCAACCTGCTCTGCATGCAAGTGCTTAGGTCTCAAGCATGGGATTGAGTGAGGGAGAATGCGATAAGCTGAAGCAACTCATTTCACTGCATTTCAAGACCCGTCCTGGGAAGCCAGGACTCCTGTTCCAGACCTGCATGTCCCTCAGGCAGCCAGTGACACACCATAGCAGTATGGATGTCAGCAAGTTCTCTGAAACTGGGAACCCGCTGATTTCAGAGTCAAAGTGGTAAGATGGTTCAGTTGCACAAGGAAATGCTCTGCAGGGTTTAAAAGGGCTGTCTGCCCTCAGGGAAAATCTGAAACTCAAGGAGAAATGGGGAAGGGAGAAGTGTAGACAACACCATCACCTTATGCTTAAGCAATGGCTTACACTTCAAGTGATGCAAAAGCATCAGTCTTCATGTACTCCAAAGCACAAAGAAGGTTTTAAAGCAACCATTTTAAAACAATGGGGGTATAAGGAGCATTGCAGAACCAGATTTGAACCATGAAACCATCTCATGTCTAGATATATGCCTATCCTAGCATGGGACAGGGGTCAGGAGACCCTCCCATAGCAGAAGAAGAAACATTCCTCAGGAACCACGAAGTTCTATCATGACTCAGTTCAACATTTTATCTCAAGAGCTCACACCACTATTAAAAGCTTGTTAACAGCAGATGTGAAGGAGTGCTGCACCATCGGAGGTGTGCTTATTCAGGAACGGATGAGAAGTGAAACACCTACAGATGCAACAGAATAGATCAAATGATACAGCTGATCATTCCGCACCTCTAAAACTCAGCTCATCCACACACAACAGAGAGGAGTCATGACATGAAAAACAAAAATCCTTAGTGAGTAGGAGTTCAAAAGACACATTACAATTTCATGAAGACCCCATTCAATTCCCAGTACATCTACTTTAGCACAGGGACAGGAACTTATTAGTCACTACGGAAAGTAACTCGAAAACCTCATACCTGTTGATGTGTTCCTTCAATGTAATACGTAGCTGTAAGCACTGCAAGCGTCAGTAAAAAAGACACCAAGATACTTCGCCGATGCCACAATCTTAAAAGACAAATGGCAATTAGGGTTTTTGATAATTTAGTATGCATTTCAAAGTAACTTAGTTATCCCTGTAGACTGGGTCTGTGTGGATATAGTCAGCTGAAAAGTTTGCTATTATAAAAGCATAAACCTCCCAAGAAAATATCTGGGGAGTCTTTATTCTTTACGGAAAAAATCTCTACTTCACTGTCAAGTGACATCAAAATTCAGCCATGCATGCTTTTTTTTAAAATAAAGAAAACCAAAGTAACTGACTGAAAACAAACACAATCTGAAAACAAATATTCAGCTTCTGCAGCCAAGACAGGCTCAAACACAGGGCCATCAACAACATCCACGGTTAAGCAAAGTGCAAAGCAGGCACTGCACTGGCCCTGGGCAAGGAATGAGCTGTGGGTGGAATACAGAAGTGCTAATTTCAAACTGTGTGCTGGTGGGTAGAACCACAGTGACAGTAAGAGGAACAAATCTTTACACTATTTTGGTTCCCCTGACCTATTGAAATTAGTATCTCTCGTAACAGCTCAAAGTTTAATAAATACATTTTAGCTAATTATGAAGCTTTAAGAAGCTACTACAGTAAGGGGAGAAATGTGTTTTCCAATATAATTTGATACCCAATTACTTTTGAGCCTGTTTAGTTTTACATACACATTCTGTTTGATGTGTACGTGGCCATACACAGTAGATTAGCAAATACATTTATTATTTTCTCGGAAACACTATTATACTGTCACCTAATGATATAAAAAAGCAAGTGCTAGCATCACTTAAAAATCTCAGACATGAAATAGCAAACTATGAATGTAACATCTACTTAGACAGAAAAAGATAGAAATATGAGATGTGTAATACAGGAAAACAGTCTCAAACGTTTCATATTAAGCAAACTGAAAAAAGTCACTCTAACCTTCCTTTAATTTTAAAATAATTTGTGCTGCTTACATTAGTATGAGAAGTGGATTTTCCACTGATTGTCATAATTTAAATCACAATTTACTCAAGTGGAACACAGGATACCATTAAGAGTCAATCTGAGGTCTCAACTTGATAGCTTATAATAGTATTATTTTCTGTAGAGATACTCTCATGCTAGTGCTAGACAACATAGATATGCTGCACAACAGAGGATGCAAGTGCTATCTGTGACAGAATTTGATGTCTAGGAAGCCAGGTAATAGTCATCTTAAAATAAGACCTCAAATGTTACTTTTGCTGGGTTTAAATAAATGCTTGGAGGTTGTCAGAAATGGCTAATGTAAGACCCGATAAAACAGTTCTCAAAGAAACAATTCCCAATGCTAGTTGAAAGAATGCACATAGTAAAATAAGTAGGTTTCGGGGTTAGATTTTGGGGGGACGGAGGGTGGGGTATAAAAGGGGATTAAGACTACACTACGTAAACCTGGTATTTTTCATACAGATAATTTCAGAAGATACAAACGGAAAACAGAAGTTTCTCTCAATGGATCTTATGTGTCAGCACCTCGAACCTAGCCCAGAAGGGTCAATGAACATAGCCCATTATCACCAATCTCAGCTCCCTCTGCAAAGGAGCAGTCCAACAGCTAGGATCACCCAAGGTGATATTAGAGCCTATCTTCTGACTGGGAAAACGATGTAAACTCAATCCCAAACACAAGAGATTCCAGTTACCAACAGAAGCACTAGGATAGCTGCTACTTTTGGCTTTTTCAGTTGCCAATTTTACCCACGTTTGCCTTTTGGCACTCCAAACCCTCTCAAGCCTAGTGCGTTAAGAAATATCTATGCATTTCAGCATTAGTAGGGGATGTTAGGACAGCTACTCACAAATTTTTTAACTGGAATAAAAGCCCATTTTATCCAGTGTGTAAATAATGCTCAGGGAAAGTGCTTTAATAAATCATTTCCTGCTGTGAAAGGGACCATGTAGCTTACAAGCAAAGTCCTCTTTGCAGCGTCATAAACATCACTGCAAGTTCCACGTAATCCTGAACCCTGCCCTAGCTGAGCTATTTGAAGATCATTCAGCGATACTAACACATACATTAATAGATCGGTACTTAACACTGCAGTCGTAAGTACAGTATCTCTTCCTTAAGGATCCCAAAACACTCCTTCAAATTGGAATATTCAACTCTTCAGAAAGGAAGTTTGCAATTTTCTTCCATTGACAACTTATTGTATTTACACTTATGTAATTTAGGGAGAAGGTCTGAGTACACAGTTAGAAGTGTGGTATGTTCCAGTAGCCACCTTTAAGGTACAAAAATAAATACGTTTTCCAAAAGAAGAATTTTAAAGCGAATCATCAGGGAAAGCGAGATGTCAGAATGACCTACTGAATCAAAGCATAGGTTTCCCCAGAATGCTTAGTAGAAGTTAAAGAAATGATCTTTACTTTATGGTCCATTCCTTCAAGTTTATTAGAGTTTCCAGGAAAAAATACTGCAAGGTAACAAGCGGTTGTCTCCACAGTACAATATTCAACCTCTCTTCTCGGTCCCTTCGCTTCCGTTCACTCAACGAAGAGGAATCTGCAAATGAAAAGCAACAGAGATGTAAAAGCACAGGCTGACAGTTCAGATTCCATCCCACCCAAAAATATACTGACTTTTTTTTTGGCTTTGTTAGGAAGTTAATGTGGGCTCCCAGCCATCTTTTCCACTCAGCACAAAGCATTTGCTCTAAGGGCATCAGAGATCAGGTGACCACCAGCAAAGGTGGCTTTTTTCCTCCATGTAGCTGACAACCATTCAAGAATCTAATTGGCCCAGGGTGCAAGAAGTCTGGCGTATCTGTTAGCGTTTATGCAAGGTACCGCACTACTAGTTACAAACCAGCTAATACATTAGGTCAAATGCGACTCAATCATCCACTACAGAGACCACATTTCATTTTGAACTTTTGAATTTGATTCTCTTCCAAAGTTATTCTCAGACTTCTCCAATCGAACTAGATTGAATTACATGTGCTCTTTATACACTTCAGTCACCGTGTAACTGGATAATAGCATCTACCCTCCCAGTCAGGATCCTCAGGCCTTGCCACGCTGTTCAGCTTCTCCAAAATAAGCCCAGCAGACAGGAAGTGCTCCCATGAAAAGGACCTGCTTTTATACTGCAGTCCTTTGCCGGACTGACACTATACGTTGGGTTGCTTTTAACTGCAGTGATTTGGTTATAATGCAGAGCTCAACACTACTGTAACACCAGTCACTGTACACTACAAGTATAGAAGAAAGGTTCTTCTAATAAACATGTTATTTTGGGCTTAAAATACAGTTCAGGTTAATAAAAACCCTAGCTATTTTTTGGATGAGAATGGCTTGTTCAAAGGTTGTCAAGCTAACGAGCGGTAATAATTTTTAAACTTTTAAAGAAAATGAAGTCTGAAATAAGAGAAAAAAATAATATCACAAAACAATGGAAAAAATAAACAGACACCAAACTTGTTTAAACATCACTACCAAAGTCAAAACACATGTATTCAGTTTTGTATACATTTAAAGCACTGCAATATATTCATAAATTTCAGATTTGTAAAAAGCTGTTGCATTTAAATTATTAATCTAATCTGAATCCCCAACATATTGTAACTCAAGATGTATTATTCCAGTCTTATTCCAGTAATTGAATTCCAGTCTTATTCCAGTAATTGAAACATGCTGCCTTATCAGATGCTAATATTTACATAGAAATTGCATACCTCATTAGTCACATAGCCCATTTAATTTTGTATTCTTTAGCTGTAAGCATCAGTTGCTTTAGATGAACTAACAGAAATCCTACAACAGCAAATACTGGATAACATCCACATTCCCTCAGAGTTACAGAATGATTTAAGCTTTTAAGTAAAAGACTTTGATTTGTTCCATACATACACCCATACAGTTCCTTGTTAAATCTTGCTGCATTCATTGCGTCAAGAATTTCTATTCTCTATTTTTTCACTTAATATGTCTAATAGAAATGCTTCAACCTTGTTTTTTATGACTTTGTTTCTAGTAAAGGTCATAAAAGACAATGGTGTAAGACTGCATACAACTTGAGAAATCACTTGGTTACAAAACTTAATTAAATATGGAACTGGCACATTCAAAGCTGACAGGAAAAAAACGAAAATGATTATAATTTCTACGCTATACTACACAGCACAGATAATTCAGTGACACAAGGCTCTTCATAGACCTTCTCAGGTTATTTTTCATGAGTCCTAAACATTAACCCAAGCCTGCTTCAGACATACCAGTAGAAAAAACAGAGGCAAAGCAGGAGATAAAGTAGTTAACTGTTCTGTTAGTAATTTATCATTGAAACTGATAAATTGTAGTGAAGCTAAATGTCAACAGAAAAGCTAGAAATTGGGAGACTAATAACTGGATTTTTGCCAGCGTAAACCAGATTTTTATTACCAAGTACTAACTTTTCAGTGCCAAAGGGTGGGGCTCTATAGCCTGACTGCTACAGCCACGTATTTGCCAACATAGTTTAGTTTTTTAGCTCAGTCCTGTTGCAGCCCCTGTTGGTACCCAGGTCAGCTTTACAGGGCTCACATGCATATGAACTACAGAATAAGAACTTTGGAGGGAGAAAAGAGTATAAGAGAAAACTGAATGGAAATACACAGCATAAAACTATTCTGTGGCTTTACAATACATAAATCCTCTAGACTTCAGATTTAGAGATGACTGAAGTTTCCAAGATTGATTCAGGCATTGAGGCCCTTTGCATTATCTGGGCAGAAAGTGCACCAACAAAAATTCCTTTTGAGTATTGTGTGAGTATTGGCCATTTTACACACCAAGCTGACCAGCTGAGAACATTAAGTCATTTTCCACCTACCTGTAAAGTTTCCATTGTGCTGTTCTTTGATCATTCCTATGCGTCTCTGGTCACAATCTGTTCCATTCTCTGCCATTTCATAGATCAGTCACGTATGGGGATCTAATAGCAGAATAAAAACAAAAAGCATAATGTCTCCATTTCTGGTTATGAAGACTCCATTTACTCTGTAGTCAAAGGATACAGGCAAACATCCAGCAGTTCTCCAGATCCAAATCACAGTTATCCTGCATTACACCATTAAAAAGGAGAAAGTGATTCAATTCCCACAATGACAAAGATTAAAACATTTTCACCTACCTAAATCTAAATTTTTCACTTAAATGACAAAACTGTCTCACTCCTAACAACTGAACAAAAGCTTGTTAAACAATCCCTTCTACTATTCAGCCCACTGTTTGGGCTCCAGAAGCAGCAGACCTTCATATAACCCTCAATTTAATCCTGAGAGAGAGGTGCTTAATATTTGATTCTCATATTAGAAAACATCTATTCTGGCACTAAGCTTCCAGGTAGTTAGTATGCAAGTAGACCTCAAAAATCTCACAGCCTAAAAAAATAGCCCTCAATGTGGTAACTAAGATACAGAACTACATCTTATGTTTTGCACAGTTTAATATCTGTAGCCAGAAAATGTAAACTCTTCAATGGAAAAGAGCTCTCCAATGGAAAGCTTTTTTGAAAAGTGTACATTCTGCCTGCTAGTTTAGTCTCTCTCTAGTGAGATCAGCCTTAAAAAGTGCAAAAGAACAGCTGTGGTTTTCCTTATCCAGGAGAGTAAATAGTGCAATAATTGGAAGCCAGCATAAATCAGAATGTTGCAAGAGCTTTTTCTTTTTTTTTTTTTCCTTAAAAAAAAAAAAAACAAACCAGAAACCAAACTGAAAAGCTGACAATTCTTATGCAATCAAACACAAAGAAAGTAGCCAGTCGGACTCCTTGCTTTAAAAATCCTCTCTTGAATCTTAAAACAGTTTCTGGAATTTTATTTTGGAAAAAGAGTCTCACAAAGCTAAAGCACCTTATTTGCATTACATTTCTCCCTGTAAGCGAACGTGATTTACAGTTTTTGATATGCTGCTTTTGTTGGACAGAAAAGTAGTCCAATATTAAAATGACAAGTTGTATAAAACTGTCTAGTAGAGGAAATTAAAGTTTTACAGAAAAAATACTTCCCCTTTGACTTATGTTAGGCTTAAGAGCCAAGGAGCAACTCAGGTTTGGTAAACAGAAATGAGATCACCCCTTTGATTCAGACTGCAATAATTTTGTCCATTTTTTTAATAAAATGTTAAAAGATTTCAGATACTGTATTTGCTTAATTTCCAGGGTTTCACAAGTCAGTCTTAGACAGATGTTCTTCTAAACATGTACGAGCCTTGTGCATTACTTGTAATACAGATAAAACTGCTAGCTAGAATGCGATTATTAAACGGGTTTTACTTAAAACCCAATAGTCAAAAGTATCAAGGTCTCGGAAAGGAGCCCTTCCTCCAACACCTCCTTCCTGAAACGAAATGCGCAGAAATAGAAATCTGTCTAGTTAAACAAGCTAGTAGAAACTAATCTCTTGCATGTTACAGTTTTTATTCATTGCAACTTGGGCCCCAAGAATACCCAAACCACCAAGAAAATTAATAAAACAGCCTTGCAAAAGTTTGCTTCTGAAAAATGCTGAAGGGTTCCGTAGTCAGCCAAGGACAACAGAGGACTGACCTGCTGCAGTAAGAGCTCTACA